GTTTGAGTTCAGGTATGATGAATGTTGGTGTTGAAAATGATGAATTGAGGCAAAGTACAAGAAATACTAAAATTGATAGGTTCAGCAATTTGCCTGACAATGTTCTGCTCCACATCATGAATTTTATGGATACAAAAGATGCTGTTCGGACTTGTGGATGCACCATTGCAAACATCTCTCTAATCTCGCATTTTATTATGATTACAGACAGAATATTGAACTTTTCGATAAATTTGTGACATGGGTTTTGTCTAGCAGGGATGATTCCTGTTCCTTACTTAATCTTGTTATTGAAAATCAGTTTAGTGGTGAGTTAATTGATCCTCGAGTATTTGATAGTGTCATTGAATATGCTGTGCTTCACAATGTCCGGAATTTGAAATTAGATGTTTTCAGCCCCATTGTCACTTTTGAGTCTCTCTCTTTAATCTTTTGTTCTCAGTCTTTGACATCTCTGAAGCTTTGCATTAGGCGTACGTCTAGTCCGGTGGTAGTACTTCCGAAATCTTTTGACTTGCCTGCGTTGAAAAGTTTGCGTCTTAATTGTGTGGGTTTTGCTGCGAGTGGCAATGAATGTGCCGAACCCTTTTCAAATTGTCGTGTGTTAAACACTTTGGTCCTTAAATGTTTTTCTTTGCATGATGATGCACGGGTCCTTTGGATATCTAATTCTAGCCTTTCTAGTTTGAAAATAAGCCATTTGTTGCAAAAACAAGTTTGGGAAGTGAGGCTTTCTACTCCGAAACTTAGTTCTTTCACAATCAAGGGTTTTGCGTGTGATCAGTTGTCCACCACATGCAATCTTTCTTTTCTTGAAGAAGTAAATATTTTTCACAGGTACCTTTGGGAGACAAGCTCAATTTCAACGCTCCTAAAATGGCTCAAAGTGCTTGCCAATGTAAAGATATTGACACTAACTTCAGTCATCATTCTAATGATATTACCTGTAAGTTACATGTTTTTGCCTCTATAAATGCTTATAAACTTGTCTGCATTCATTTATAGAATATTTCACCACTACTTAATTTTGCATTTTAATATAAATATAACTCCTATTTATTCTAACTGTGTAGGAATTATCGAATATGTATTCAAGGACACCTCAACCCCCATGCTTTGTTAGATTGGAATTATTGAAGGTGGACAAACAAGTGCCTATAAAGATATCTGATAAGGAAGTAACCAGAGTAGTGGACTTCTTGCTTCAAAACTCTCCGTCAGCAAAAGTTGATATCTCATAAAAAGTAATTGTCAGTATCCAATGCCTGGTTATTTAGTTAGAAATTTTATGTGGTGTTCAGTTTTTTTTACTTATTTAGTGTTTCCCTTTTTATCTATCCTCGATGCTCTCTACTGATAGCAAATTATAAGTGGTTATGGTAAACAAGCTAAACTTAAAATTCAAGAAAGTAGAATAAGTTTTGATTGATTTGTATGGTATTATATGTTAAAATTACTTGAGTTTAGTTATCATATGAATTATTGAAAATAATGTTGTTTTCTCAAACTAAACCAGTGAACCTACGGCCAATTGCTTCTATTCTTGTTTGAGTTATCATCATAAATTTGATGCTCAAACCCTGTGGAGTGTGGACATTCAGATGGTGTTGTATGATGAAATCAACGGTGTTTGTGAATATCTTCCATTTTAGAAACCTGATACAATAAAATGGAATTTATTATGTCACAGTAGGATGCAATAAAACAAACTATAGATGTGTATTACGCAGTTTGAAAATGTAGCTTAGTTCCATGTAGAATCCTAGGTCCTAGGTTATCTAATGATAACTCACTCACTTAGGTTTACTCGTTATTAATTGGTGTGTTGCTTTGTATAGGTGATAATTAGCCTGTAAAAATTGGAAATTGGTGTATTATTTGGATGATTATATTGAAGAATATCAAATTTGATTGTGGATACATTGATTGGGACGATTATGATTTGTAATTTAGTTTATGGACTATTTGGACAATACTTGAATAGTGTGCAAGTGTCTATTATGTATTTTTTTTTTAATTACAGTTAAAAATCCAAACTAGAAACCACAAAAGCAAGTTACAATAAAAATATATGCAAACATAGGAAAATAAATCCAAGAGGGGGGGGGGGGGGGGA